GTCCACAGAGGAATCCAGTACTATAAAAGCTTTTTATTACAAGGTTCTAAAGAATAGTACAGCAATAATTAATTACTCACAAGAATCTAGTCTAAAGTAATCTGAGCTCAATTAGATATCAAATCTTTTTTCCTTCTTTACGCTCAGATTTGTACACCTTATATACTTTTCTCTGAATCTATTTAAGGCAATAACATCGTCTACAATCAGACATGAATCATCACTACATTTTACAGTATTAATCAAACTGCTTACAATATTATTACTTTACCATTAATGTCCAACACCGTAAGGTATTGGGCATCTTTACAATCTTAGTATTTCAAGTCGTATAACGTCCTGTACCATAATTAGTTAACAGCTATATTAGTGAATAACACTTTCTAATATAGTAGTTACCAGTCACCTAAATCTAGCAGCACAAGAATATCTATTTTTAGAAACTTAACTATTCTAAATATAGTACACAACACAATCAAATATAGCTATCGCTACAAGCAAATATAGGGTGCATCACTACAATGATTTATCGTATACAATGCAAAATTTATTTTCTGAATAAAATGCATTAAATCAGTCTCTAATAGCTACTTAATTTACTTCGAAAGATTTATCGAACCCTTTATCTCAATATATAGCTGTAGAAGTGAGTAATCTATGCCAGCTAATGTGACATGCAGTATTAAAATCGCTAGTAAAATTAGCATAAAAGATTACTATAATATTGTTTTAAATCTTACACAATTTATATGTATAGAATAAAATCGATTTTTTCCACTAAAGTGCTTTATATTAATCTCATAGAGCTACTAAAGCTGTTTTTGCAGATTTGCTAAACCCTTCATCAAAATGCTTAATCGCAAAAATGAGTAATCCATAACCACTAATATCTTGTTACAAGATTAATTTCGCTATAAAAATAATTAATCATAAAAGTTCATTATCACATGACATGCTTACTTGATTTAACGTAACTCTAACTAAACAAATAATATCATACAACATTATAGTCTTGAAATTACAAAATATTCTTAGAAATGGTAGTAACACAATTACATAATATATGTGATAGCTTCTCATAATAAAGTTCTTTACTCATTGCTATAAATGCCCTGTATGTACTGGCATTATTCTAATAATATTAACTTTATAAACTATAACTTATTTCAAAAATTATAACTCTTTTGTAACATTTACCGACGCAATAAAATGATAATCGCAGTTTTTCATCTACTGTACAATTTTTTACAAGAATTTAGATATGACTCATGTCAAAATGTAGACTCATTCAAAAATAGCAGTGATGACGTATCGCTAATATTTTACAACGTAAAATTTATTCACAATGGTTAATGAATTTTTAAGTAAGGTTTATTACCAGTGCCGGACATTCATGCTGACCCAAGGTATATTTTATCACAAAGAAAGTAGTTTTATACATACGCTATATTTCATTCAGTACTTTCTCTTGAAGGGCATTGATATTCCCAATTTATTATATTTTTTAATTCATGGTCCAACCTTTCACTATATTTATATATGAGACTTTTTAACTATTATTGTACTCGCTCAAACAAATGCTATCAACCTTTCAGATTAATTAGCAATTTTATGATACTCGATAAACAAATTACTACACTACATTACAACGTTATCATTGTATGTTGACTGAATTGAATACGAATACATAATTATTGTAGCCAGTATAAATACGTATTTTATCATAATGATGTTACTTTTACATCTGTCAATATTTCATATGATTCATATCTAATTATAATTACCATAGCAGTGCAATGCTACAAATTGATTCTAAACAATAAAGTCAGACAGAAGCTACAGTAAACTATATCAATACATGTAAAGTTCGAAATTTTGATAAATTCCTTTACGACTAAATTGTACAACCAAAATAACAAGCTTACAGCTTAAATATATTAAAAAGAATTATCGAGTCTATCAAGACATAAATCTCAAGTTATACTTTCAGTGAATAATATCAGTAATTGTTACTCCTGTCATATAAGCGCGACTTTTCATAAATACAGTATATCTTTAAGTAGTACTAAATGCTTTCAATGTATTAATTTTAGAACTTCATTTAATTCTGGTAAGCTTCCATAAATAATGTTACGCTAACAAAATTTCTCTCAAGCAAAAATTAAGCCTAAGTAGTCTATATCACTTTATTCTACACCGGTAATAAATCATTGCTATCTAGTTCGATGCTAATGTTGTCATTCCATTTAATTTAATCAGTATAGAAAAAGTTTATTCAGTTTTATACTATACCAAATATACATATCGTGGTAATAATTGGATTTTTGGGGGTTACTATATTTGGTTGCCAAATATCGTACATCGCCAAAAGTCAACAGCGGATTTACGTAAGGAACAATTAATATCATAATGATTTACTTCTGCTTTTCCATCACAATGATAACAATAACTTATATTTCCGATAACTAAATTACTTCTTCACGAATTAATACACAAACATTGGTCTCCGGCGTATATTTTTCCGCTGATGTTCAAATTTTATTTCAAGAGGGATATAATTTTGTTTTATAATAAAACTATGTATCGATATTCTAGTACAGAGCAGATAAAAAAATTAAAGCTTAGCTAATTGGATCAATTTATTTTAGTTATCCTGATATCAGCGTTCAACTTAACTAGAACTTTATATAGTTATACGAAGGCTATTCGTCTAAAACAATTGATACTAGTTATATTTTATGCCATTGCAATATTATAATCATGGCATTGAAGACGAAAACAAAAGCGCCTTTGTTTTGTGACAATTTATAATTAGAATAAATCTTAAATATATTTTACGCTCAACATAATTCATTAGAAAGTAATTGCACAAACCGAATACACTATAGAAGAAACAAATACAATTAGGTTCTATCCATACTTAAAATTGCAAATGGTTTTGCTGATTTAAACTAAAGTAGCTACTATACGCATATCATATCAACGATATTGTAGTATAAATGGATTAGATGAAAACGAATAAAAATATCGGACGCATATGCGAAATTTAATAGTTAATAACCTCATTTTACACTATTTTCTTATTGTACATTCTTAAAATAACACTGGAGTTATTATTGATCAGTACTATTCAGTTAGATCATTTTGATCACTGTTTTGGCTACATTAATCCTCAAAGATTGTCCACGACGTTGGAATCAACAAGAAAAATCCACTTTAGATTGATTTTGCTCATAATAGAAAAATGATTTCTATTCAAAACATTAATAAAGAGCAACTTCAAATTTGCATCTTCTATTATATCCAATTCAATGAATGTAGATGGAGAATTAATCAATCGCCTGTCTCCATCACTACCCATAAATTGTTGTTATCGATATTCATTTATAAATTATGATATCCTTCAAGAAATGAAAATACCTTAAATCGGATCATGATTAATAATAAACATTTTAATTATCATATTATCCTGAAATATATCAATATTTAAATTCAGACGATTAATACAATAAGAAATCAATTATTATCAGAGTCACAATGCCTATAAAAAAGATTATCAAGACCGTCCTTAACATATTTGAAGAATCTTATATATCCAATAAAATCAATTATTAAGCTAGAAGACTTTACTTGTGGGGTTTTATTTTATCTTTATTAATTAGCTCCACTTGAGCGAACGGGAAAAAGGACTAGCATTTTAAAGCAAAGAAAATTTTAAATTCTCTTCTTTTTTACACTGGTACAAATCGAACAAACTCATCTAACAAATGCAAACGAATTGATACATGTAACTACTAATACCTACGATCTGGACATTTTGGATGGCTATCTAGAAAAACCAAACTCTCTTTTTTCATTTTTGCTATTCAAATAAGAAAACGCACTTCAGTCAAGATGGCCAATAAATATTAAAGCTGAAAAATGTTCCAATATTCTTAATAACTGATTTACATTTATCATCATTCTCAACCACAACACCCAATCTTCTATTATTATACGAAAAGAATGCTACATATCACATACATAAGGCAATTTAAACGTCTTTTCGTGGTTATTCGTGGATAAAAATTAAACAGAACCTAGATTTGTCCTTGTCGATCCGATACTGGATATATTATGCACCTAATGCGGAAAAATCCTCTCAGTATCACTATTACTTCGACAGAATCAATAGTCCCCATTTAACATTAGATGAAGCTTATCACTGCCTATTTTGTTCAAGAATTTACTTGATAGGAAACTATTTAGAAAAGAAATTTTAACTATTTCAGATTTCAAAGATTTGCAGAATATTTGCCCGGAGATTTAGCATCGTCATAGTCAAGATTAGGCATCTTTCGGGTCCTAAAAAACTACTTTTTTGAATATCTTGAATACCATGGCAAGAATATCGTTGTAGTAATCTTTCAAGTTTCCCAACATATTCAAAAGTTGATAAAAGTATCATTCTTTTTTAGATCGCCCAGGCAATCATTGGTTATTAGAAAAAACAAATAGTCAATATATTTACAGGCACTGATAAAACTTAATTGCAGTACTATTCAAGTTATAATTACGAACAGACTTTATTGTCTCTAATCTGCGTCAATATTTTTTAGAAAGGAACTTCAAGAAACTAGTTTCTGTTCACAAGATAAATCAATATTGGTTGATACCATCTTTACATAGCGAGGAATCAATTTATTCAATATAACAGCTAGAACTTTCTCTCTATAAAAGCAAATTGAGAATATCTTGGTATAATCATTATACAGCTTTTCTTGAAAATTGTAAAAGCTTACAATTTGTACGTAAAAAACAGATCTTTAAAACGTTAAAAAGGCACATTGTTTTTATTTTCAAGCCTCTGCACCACCTACCTATTTTTTCACTTTTAGCCATTCAAGAAAACTATTCAAACTAGCTTGATCTCCAATAATACTGATTTATTGTTTGTAAATATCTTATACTCGACAGATTGTTCACAAAATCAATTCATTTTATTTGTAACATCTGCCATCATGTCTCGTCCTGTATTACTTGGAGCTGGAATTGCTACCTTAATTACTAATAGTGCTTTATTTGCTTTCATTAGAAGTAAGCGAAATTTACGTTTATTATCTCACATACTTTTACAAAGTATGCTCATTAATGGTTTTATATGGGGTCTTTATCAAGTAATTCGATTCAGTAACAATTTCTCATATACAATTGGAATCATCTGCATCGTTTTACCTCGTCTTGGTCAAGCCATATTTATCAGTTTAAATTTGCATTCTTGTCTTATTATGTCAGAACGTTATTTTGCTATCGCTTATCCATTTCGCTACAACAGACTCCTAACAATCGGAAATTTATCCATTGCCGTTGCGCTTGTTTGGCTATTGCCAACTGCAGTACCTTTAGTCTCGATCATCGATGGCATCTATTCCAATCGGTTAACTAACTGCAGCGTAGCCAACATTCAACAATTTCTTAGAATTGATTTCATTTGCCATCTAATTATGTTAATACTAGCTACTTTATTACTTACGTTATTACTTGCTATGTATAATCGGATTATCTATCTTCTTAAATTGAGCCAGCTTCATCAAGTAGGAGTTGCTACTCATGGATATAGTCTTTCATCGGGCGAGATGGTGGACAATTCAGTACCGCGCAGCAGTTTGGCGCTGAGAAAGAAAGCAGTTATACAAGCTATGGTCGTCTTTACATTTTATGTCATCTTTTTACTACCCTTTCAAATATTATCTACTATTACCTTATCTGATTTCAGTTACTTTAGATTTTTAGTACCCTCTGTGCTTGTTGTACGTGATATTGCCTTTTGTTATCCTGCCTTGCAACCGCTAGTATATGCTTATTTTACTGCTGATATCCGTAAAGAGATTTGTGCAGTCTATTACAAGATAGTGAAATCAACACGTTTACAAGGTAGAACGTCAAAGAATACAACTAGAGTATCTACTTTCAAGGGAGCTTCTGATATGCATTTACCTATCATGACTTCCAATAATTAAAGTTGAATGTCATGAAAAGAAATTGAACGATATTCTAAGCATAAAATGATATTACATTGACGAAAAGATTAAATTCATCACAAATCCATTTTTATTCCCCTTTGATATAATATATTATATAATAAGTCTATACCAAAGTTAACGCTGAATATTAGTAGACAAATAGGTTTGTATAATTGCTGTATTTCCTCTACAAAGATCTTTTATATAAAATATTTGTATTTACTATTAAGTTGAAATTCCTTTCAACCCGATATATAAATAAAATGGATCATAGTTACTTTCTGTCTAAACCTTAAGGATATATTAAGTATGTATTAGATCTTATGCGTGCATTATAGATTATAGTATCAATTTATTATTGAATTCCTTGTACTCTTTAATATAATCAATAATTAGGTTTGCAACCGAACTTACATAACTATTCTAAATTGTTTCATCCATCGTGTCTTCGGATCTTCGCTGTTAAAATAGTTACGGTATATTATTTAACTACTATATTAATATCACAATGCAATTTAAATCTTACCCACATTATACTATTGAAGGAAAGCCGTAATTTTAATGTATGTATTGAAGTCAATATTTCATCTTTTTAAGCTTCCTTTCTGGCCTTATTTTTCCTTGATTGTCGATATATTGATATCTAAATTAAATTTATCCTCAAATTTACGATAGTCCATGCTCACAAACATGTAACAAATATATGAACTCGATTCATGAATATAAGCAATCGGCCTTCAATATTTCACGTGGAGATATTCAATTGTGTCGATTATGCCGAGACTCATACATGGTGAGAATATGTGCTGAAATATCTATATATGTGAATGTTAACCTTATAAATGATGATTGAGCACTAATCTGGAATGGAATATCTTGAATGCATTATCTACTAATCTCTAGTTTCTGCGCATTTGGGAATGATATTTTAGATTTATTTTTATGCCAATGAAAATAGGGAGATAATAGATAGTCAATAATTGAAATAGCATGAGTATTGCATGATCTACTCTTAGCATTTGTTACTGACATTCTATGTACAGCTAGAGATCTCGATTGCTCCCTTAATTCAAGAGCTTCGAATTTTGACCAAGTTGTCAATGATTCAAACTCAATTAACAATTTATTTTGATACTGATACATAATATTATTATAATAAGCAGTCTACAAGAATCTAGGTTTACAAATATATATATTAGACATAAGTGTACCGGATTAATGCAATTATTTACCACCAATAACAATTATATTTACTATTTTTATAATGCTTAATAGTGATCCATAATAGTATAATAAGCAGTCTAAAAGAATCTCGCTTTTTAAATACGTATAGCAGATATGGGTGTACTAAATTAATTAATATAATTATTTACTACCAATAACAACTATCTTTACTTTTTCTATAATGCTATATGCGTGTACATAGGTACTGCATACGGGAATAATCATTCATAGAATAGCGAAATATTAGAAGATAAAATTACGCTAGAAAAGGTTACGATAATGTTATGGTCTTGTTTATAACTTCATAGTGAGTTTGAGTGTCATAAATAATTGACTTCATGGCTCTACTACTGCTCTTTACAAAAGTTGTATCGATTTTGTTACAGCAATCAGATGATAAAAATGTTGGAGCTTAAGCAACTTGATTTAAATTAATAATGCGCCCGTAATCCAGAAAGTACATTAATATCGTCAGATTGATATCGGTACCTATTATTAAGGAGTCTAATATGTTTCTGCTGCTGCATATACCTATAATAACTTTGATTCGTAAAATGGATAAAACTTGCATTAGAAAGTGATCATAACGATATGACAATATGTTAATAAAGCCATATCAAAAGTTACCTTTGCAATCAATCCATACCATATGTTATCGTCAATATCTGCACTTTTGCCTCTATTTATTACTCGTATGCACACTATAGTAATTTAAGAATTTATAAAATATTAATTAAATAGCGCAGTAATGCCAGAGATTTTCAAGAGAACATTGCTCCTTCCATAACTTTTAAATAATTTCATTCGATTTCAACCTTCGTTACTAAAGAGCTTTGTTATATTATCGTAAATTACCTGAAGGTTATCATACCACATCAAAATAAGATGATTGACTTCATCATTAAAAATGCTTGCCTCATGATTAATAAATGAAATTAATTTATTTACTACCGGTACATAAATAATAGAAAACTGTTAGAAATTCAAAACGTTTCATCTTTTATGCACAGAAAGTATTTATTACAATGGGCGTTTATTAAATAAAGATCATGGATAGAATTCTTAACTATAATCTAATTGATACACATATCTATGATTATTCGTCAGTCATGATGATTAATAAATCAAATTTTTTAATATCTATCAAGCATGATCAAAAATAAGATTGATTTCCATCCAATGCCTAATTGCAATTTTCTAATTTTTGCCATCATATTATGACCATAGACATCAATCTAAGCGGATGCGTTAAATCATTATATTGCATTCTAATCTCGCTTGAGTAACTTTAAATGAAATTATATGAAAGTTTTTAGTCACTTTCTTTTGGTATTGAATAGCCAACTTTATGCTTATCGGCGACAAGAAAGATATTGTAGTTACTGCCTTTTATGATGGATATATAAGATAGACATCAGCAATGAAATATTAATATCGATTATAATGGCCATAACTTGGATATGTTTTTGTATTCTCTGACAGATTAAATAAAAATTGTTCATCTGTGGCGACTTATTCGGATTTGAAATGATTTATTCAACACTATTGTTCAGGATATCGTGCAAAATTAAAACGAAATCTTACAATACCCTAGATACATGAAATTGTTTATTTTCATAGCCAGATAAATCTCTCTTGACCTTATCCACTTAACATTATATAACGTAAAGAATGCACTTTGTTTTTCTATGAACAAGTCAATAGAAGGAAGAAGCTTTCAATATAATGTAACTTACTGCTTCATTGAAGTAAAATACTAATTTTATGGCTAGTTATGCAAGCTTATTACAAACCATCACAAAATTGAAATATTGTAGCAATATGCACAATACTGGGTGGTAGATTAGGGTTACATAATCTTTTGCAATATATCGATCATACTGTATATTGGATATAATCAATACTTGTCTATTTGATTCGAAATTTAAAAAATCAATTATCACTTTAAAGCCTTGGTTCGAGGCGTGAAATATAATCTATAATGTGATAGTGTATCAGGGTTATATTAACTTTAACAATCATCGATCATACTGTACATTGGAAATAATTGATATTTATCCATTTAATTCGAAATTAAAAAGTCAACCGTTATCTTATAGCCTACTTAGAGACGTGAAATATAATCTGTAATGTGATAGAGGATCAGGGTTATAGTAATTTTTGCAATACATCGATCATACGGGATATTGGATATAAATGATATTTATCCATTTGATTCAAAATTTAAAAAACTCTACTATTACCTTAAAGTCCTGGCTAGAGGCGTGAAATATAATCTGTAACCGCTGATATAGGTACGTATAAATAGTAAGATAATTTTTTGATATAATGTTGAATGTTGTTCTATTAACTAATCGTTGACTTTCAATGATTCTTTAACTACAACCAATCCCGTTAAAATTCTCTTTTAGCATGTATTGTATTATATCCATTAATTAATATAAGATTTTTTTAGTACTATCTCCTTTGCAATCAAGATAAGTACTGAGAGCCTATGTAAGTACATTATAAATTATTACAGCATATAATATTACTATAACCATCGGAAATATCTTATCAAATCCTCTATTTTGGTAATTAAAATAGCGCAAACTCAACGTTAGTGTTTTTCTTAATATTTATCGGCATTCATTACATAGATTGTAAGTTTTAAATTAATCTGTGACAAGGAAAAATGTTACTGTAATAATTTCAACTTTGAGCAGTAGCAACTGCAATCAAAGTTTTTGTATCGTTTTCAGCTAACACAAATAGCAATGTCTTCTAGCTTTAAGACTTAATAGATTTCATAAGAATCTACAATGAAATGACTTACAAACTTTTAATTTTGTATTATACATGTAGAACACCAACTATCTAAGCAGTCATGGGAATCTCCTATCAAAATAACATTCGAGAAAATTGAGCTAATCTTGCCTAATGATGATAACATTAATTTCCCGATTTTAAAACTGTTAAATATGACATTCCTTGTCAAAATCAGTAATACTCTATTAACCTGTGCATAGGTATAGATTTTAAACGTCAAGATAAACTTAATAGATGCAATACAAATCTAAGATAAAATATCTTGTGAACTTTTAAGTTTGAATTATATACGTGGGATATCAACTATCAAAGCAATCACAGATATCTCTCATCAAAACAAAAATCGAAAAATTGAGCTAAATCTTGTCTAACGAAGATCATACCTCTTTCCCTAATTTTAAAATTGTATAATATGAAATTCCTTGCCAAAATCAGTAAAACTCTCCATAACCGTATCTGTATATAGGTGTAGATCATAAAGGTCAAGTTTATTTTGATGTCGATTTGAAATTCACAAGAAACTGCAGTTCTTGTTTTATTTTTTTAGAGAAAACATTTTATCACATACAGTTATGCATGAGCACAACTTTATTGAACTAGTTAAGCATCAAAGCACTCTCTATCCAACTCGATGCTGTAAAACGAATACACATCTTATATATGCTATCTCTAAATCCATATTAATCTACATAGTACCATGCTAGGCTACAGTACTACATCTTAGTATCACGGTAGCACTACATATTAATTATGTATAAATATACGCATCATAGATAGATAGATAGATATCCAATTAGTTATACTATGACGATCACAACTACATATTAATAAACTAGATGTAGATTTTAATAGTATTATTGACTACAAGTACTAAGGATTTTACAGTACCAGAATGACTAAAGTATACAATACTGTATAACAATTGAATATATAGTAAGCTGAACTACAGTATAGTAACTAACTAGAAAGAGTTTAGATATTTTTAGACGACATTAGTTTTACACATTTTGAACTAGGACTATAGCTAGAAAGATTTTACATGTCTTGATAGGACGTCTGGTATATATAATTTGGTAGAAATTTATATTGGCCGATTGCACCCTGTACAGTAGGAGGTATTAGAGTCAATACGAATAGACCACTGTAAAATCCAGTTTTACTTCCAAAATAGCAGGGTGCTAATTCGATCAACCTCTTCAATTATCTATATATAAGCTGAGCTGTTGATACATTTCCTATCTCGATGGAGAAGAATCAATCTTGTATTATTGGAGTCGATGTCGGTGGAACGAATACCGATGCAGTTATTATTCGAGAAGGAAATGTTTTTGCATGGGCTAAAAGTCCGACTTCCGATAATGTCACTACTGGTGTCATCAACGCAATTACAACATGCATCAATAAGGCTCAGGATAAACTAACAGACATCGCCTTGACAAATTCTATCTGCAGGATTAATATTGGCACTACTCATTTTATTAATGCTGTTATACAACGTCGATCGTTAGCAAAAGTTGCTATTATCAGGCTGTGTCGGCCAGCTTCGACAACTCTACCCCCATTTTCAGGTAAGCTACTCACTTGATTTGTCAGTGTTGTAATGTTCAAATTTGCCTAGTTAATTCCCCTCCTTGGCTTACAACCATCAAATTTATTCCGTGGAATAGACAGTTATGGAAATACTTTTAGTTCAATTGGTGGAATAGATGTCGCAACTATTTTTCTTGTTGCTCTTAGTCCTAGTATTAAATTTAAACAGAAAAGGAAAATCAACTTTTGACGATCATGCAATGCTACATTCATGGATCGTTTGAACCATGCACTACTAGAGGCACCGGTATATCTAATAGTCCATGATTTGAACAACCACTATCCGCAGCATAAATGCGACTAATCAATTTGTCCAGAAATTGAATACTGAGCTCAATCTATTCTAATAGATTGTCCTAATACTCATTTCGCTAATAACTTTACTTAATAATTTACAGAAGTTGCTGTTGACAGAAAATACTCGCTATTATTTGTTACTATATTGCTACGAAACTTTTTTGTATTACATGTATAACAACTCACTACCTACATGCTCCTACTCCACAATCGTTGCTCAGTCTAAATTCAAAATATACTATAATGGAAATTTTTTAACCGTATGTCAATCTAAGCTTACGCTAACAAGCCTACCTGATTCCAATGCATGTCTAACGCAGCTCTTTCTCTGTCAAATATCACCCTGTCTTATAATCAACAGTAATTCGTTGAGCACACTCTCAGAGCTATAGCATAACTTGTTAGATAAATGTACAGTATAATTAAGGCAATCTATCATGCTACTCCCTTTAGATACTAATTACAGACTTTAGATCTTGACTACAAAACTCAAATAGTCATTATTGTGTAGTAGAATATACTGTCCAAAATTTCAAAATGTCGTATTACTTGATAACCTAATCCAGTCTGTGATTAAATATCAACAGAATTTCCTCAAGATTTAGAAGCTTGTATCAATGGTGGCATTTACATGGTGAAAGGTGGCTATGAATTTGATGGAAGAGCCATCTCAGAAATTGATACTGATGAAATTAAACATTGCATACAAGATATCATGGATCACAATATCAGAAATATCGTTGTATCTGGTGTTTTTTCGCCTGTCAATCCACAACAAGAAAAAGATTGTGCATCAATTATTCATCAAATTTTTCCACATTGCAGCATTACAATGTCACATACTATTGGCCATATTAGCATTCTAGAAAGAGAGAATGCTGCTATCTTAAACGAAAGTTTAAAACCTCTATGTTATCATACAATTAATGCATTCCGCCAAGCACTATCCGACCTTAACTTTCAATGTCCATTCTATTTAACACAAAATGATGGCACATTAATTAGGTATTACAAAAAGTGATTTTATTTCTTCATTCAACACATTAAATGCAATAAATATTCACCTATCGCGTTATTACTTTTTTACCCATAGCTCTAAACAAGCAATTCAATTTCCGGTTCTTACGTTCGCATCTGGATCTACTAATAGTATGCGAGGAGCTGTTTATCTGTCAGGTGTTAAAGATGCAATTGTTATCGATATTGGAGGTACATCTGCAGATGTTGGTACCATCGTCAAAGGATTTCCTAGAGAAGCTTCCACACGTATCCAGGTACCGCATTAGACATCTATATTATCATCATGATTGCAGCTATCATAAGGCTTCAATTTAAGTTACAGTATTCTTATTCAATGATATTCAGGTAGGTGGTGTTAAGACTAACTTTCGCTTACCTGATGTGCTAAGTATTGCACTCGGCGGTGGCTCCATCGTGAAACAAGAGAATCAGCACATTACCATTGGACCCGTTAGTGTTGGTTTTCAGTTATTACAGAAAGCGCTAGTCTTCGGTGGTGATACTTTAACTACATCTGATATTGCTGTAGCTGCTGGCTTAGTCGATATGGGCGAGAAATCACGAGTTTCTCACTTGCAGCCAGAACTGATACAAAAAGCAATGAATCAAATGAAAATGATGCTAGAGAATGCTATTGATCAAGTCAAGGTAATAACGATCTATCCTGAAAAATGCAAAATTATTGAATTCGATAAACGTTATTGACACAGTTTGCAAATTTTTAATCTGTTGTAGATCAGTGTGAGCGATGTTCCCTTGATACTGGTTGGTGGTGGTAGTGTCCTAGTTAATAGTAAAGATACGATTCAAGGAGCATCAACGGTTAAACTACCACCATATTACTATGTAAGATGATATTTTATATACAGTACGTGTATACTTCATGAAGAGCTAATGTCCTAAGCCTATTTTAAAAGAACCTATACTAAAATAGAGAGCTAGATTACATATATATCTTCATAGAAAATGATTTAATTGATCATTATCCATATAAAAATTAGGTAGCAAATGCTGTTGGTGCAGCTCTTAGTCAAATCAGTGGTTCTATCGATCAAGTCGTTGACTTAGAATCTGTAGAAAGAGACGAAGCCATAGAGCAATGTAAATCTCAAGCGATTTCATTTGCTGTCAATAATGGAGCTGATCCTAGCGCTGTCGAAGTGGTTGAAGTTACCGAGCTACCGGTAACTTATGTAGCCGGTAAAGCTTTAAGAATAAAAATTAAAGCTGTGGGTGACTTATTATTAACCGATACAGATAAATTATCAAACGCACAACCAACCTCAGAAGGTATGCAAGTCTTCAAATTTCTTCAGACTTGAATTCTAGTTTATGCTTATTCTTTAACACGTCCACCAACTGTATCTATTTACATCGTTTGCACTATTCGTATGATTGAAGTATAGCATTCTTGCTATCCATTGCTGACTGATAAATAACGTATTTTCCATAGATGAAGTTGCTACACAGATACCTTATGAAATATATGATGAAATTTACAAGAATCTTTCTACCGAAAAGAGCGCAAGTATGAAAGATAGCGAAATGGAATCCGAGCTAACCATGAAGCCACCGACAATTGATCCTAGCACCGGAGAATGGCTATTAAATGAATGGGATATTGAGTGTATTTCTATCGGCGCTGGAATACTTGGTTGCGGTGGCGGTGGTAGCCCTTACATCGGTCGGTTGCGAGCTAAAAGGGCATTAAAAGAAGGGAAAAAAATTCGGGTTATTAACGCACATAGGTAAAATGATTGTAATCTGGCCACTTTCTTAATTTATCTTATACATTATTACAACAAATACATTAACTTATCTAGGTAAGTTATTGTAAATAAGCTAGAATGGGAACTACATGAACATGATTGACTATACACCGCTAAAGAAAATGCCAAAATATTGTTGGTAGCAACATTTTTGATGCCTCTATCATTACTGTATTTTGTAGACTAGGTTCAATAACTAATCAATCAGGATATGCAGTCACAGTTGCATTTATGGGTGCTCCACTAATTGAGTTAGAGAAACTATCATCTGGAGATGAAACGAAGAATGCATTATTAGGTGTTGAAACTTTGTTAAAAGCAAACCTAATACCTGATAGAAATTGTAAGTCGCTTGATACTTGCTACACTATAGAAAATAATTAACAAAAAAATTGTAAGTTATAGAGATAATAAGTGTATTATTAAAATAGTTAATCTAGAAGAAGTGGAAGAGTTTGCAATTAAAGATGAAGATAATATCCAATCGCTAAATAACTTAGCTGCTGTCAAAGCAGCACAGAAGAACGTAAAGAGTAAAGTGGAAATTGCTGCTCTATTATGCGCGGAAATTGGTGGATGCAATGCTATCGAGCCCCTTATTTTAGGTATTTTGGAAGCTGTCTATAATAATAACTAGAATAGCTTTAGAGTGCACTGCATCAAGCTGATAAAGGTAATATATTTATCACAGGAGCTAATCTCGATAAGCCAATTGTTGATGCCGATGGCATGGGAAGAGCATTTCCCGAATTGCAAATGTTCACACCAACAATTTATGGAGAAAATTCTTGTCCATGCTGCTTGGCAGATTGCAAAGGTAACAACGCGATATCATTATCGTGTAGATCAGCAAAAGACTTGGAAAATTTTATGAGGAAGCATGTAATTCAAATGGGGTGAGTCTATTTGAAATTCGATGACAAGGCGTATAGCCATTGCTATAAATTCTTATCTTGATAACTAATAAACGAGACCATTAACCAAGAATTATTATATAACAAGATGTTATTCAGGTCTAGCATTTTGCCCTATGAAACCTTCAGAAGTCCTAAGTAAATGTATACTAGGTTCCATTAGTAGAAGCCACAGGTTAGGAGAAGCTGTACTGACAGCGAGGAAAAATGCTTCATCTCCAGTCGATGCCATTCTAGAAAAAGAAGCCGGCAGATTACTCATTACCGGAAAGGTATATAGTTTAGATTAGTAAAATGGATTGGCTAATTATTCTTGGCCAAAGTATTGCATAGTATGATTACTAGATTTACCCTATTCAACTTTTTTTCATCTCTTGTTCTATATTTCCATTTCTGGCATGGATCGAATAACTGTTAGGTCTGCGATGTTAATCGGATGATTAGTGGTGGGTTTATTACAGGACTAATTAAAATTCAAGGTTTTACGCAATGCGAGAAATTGGATGTCGAAATTGAGTTTCAAAATGAGAATTTATTAGCAAGATCGATCTCGGCAGGAAATAAAGCTCAAATTCTTGCTTGTGTACCAGATTTAATCTCTATTGTCGATTCCGATACTGGTGAACCTATCACAACCGATAATATTAAATATGGTCTTCGAGTTTCCGTTATGGCGATACCATGTGCATCATTACTAAGGAAGCCCGAAGCACTAAAAGTTGTTGGGCCGCAAGCATTTGGATATGACCAATCTGTTCAATATCAACCTATGCCTGAAATGATAGAAACACCTCGTATTCTACCTCTTCCTTAAAAAATCAAATTGAAGGATATTTTCCGATGTGTCGAGTTGATAGTCTTAAAGTAAAGCAAAGAATGACTACTTTGATAAAGGATGTTTTAGAATTTCAATCTTTTGAGAGTAAAACTGAAACGATATTTTCCGATGAGTTTCATAACTACTCTACCGTAGAGTTGATAGTCTTGATTCATTAGTGAAGTAAAGAAGGACCGTTTTTATAAAGGATATTGAAGAATTTCAATTTTTTGAAGATGACTCGCTTTTTTATCATAAATCTCGAGTTTTGATTTAATACTAAATAGTTCCAATATATTTCATGTACTTATTTGTATCAAAATGAACTTAGGAAAAATTTTGCCTGGATTATTTTGTATTTAAATTACGCTGTAATCGGGTCTCCCCTAGCAACCTATTTCACTTGCTCGAGGCTGTCAGTAATTGTAATTTCTCGTCTATATTTAAAATGAATACTTCTTAATTTAGAGTTCTACGCTAAAGGATAAGGGATTGATTTAATACCAATCAGTGCGTATTAGTCATCCATGAGAGTTTTCATTACGATTGATAGAGCAAACTATTAGTCTAATCGCGCTGTATATCGCATTACAGAAGGAAATAGAATAACATGTTAAACACTATTATAGCCTAGCCAATTGCACTGTATTTCTTTTATCCCAGAAACCATATTAAATCTTTTGACAATTTTGAAGATATAGATAATAATTGAATAATATGATACAAATTGTGTCCGTCTATATAGAAATATTTTTACTAGCAATGCAATATAGAATTTTATGATTCTTATGCCTTGATACCTTGATGAAATAAAATAAAAGGTTAGCACCAATCACTGAGAATGAAATCAACACTTCGTAACCTGATTACTAAGTTGGTATTATGGACCTGTTTTACAGTTAAGAAGAAAAAACGAATTTCTCAATCATTCTATGACAAGTAAATCTGCGTCAATTTTCCATTGGTTACGTTTTAAAATTTGTAGAGATTGCCAATTTCTCTACTAACAATAAATCGACAACTTTAATATTAAAGGACCTGCTACTGTTGTGATGTTTCACTAAAATTGGAACAATCTCTACACACCTGGAGAGCGATATATGCGCCAGCATATTGCTGCATGTAGCACTAAATGCAAACTATAAATAATGTATTATCCGATTATTTTTAGCCGTTCATCAATATTAGGAGCTATGCTATATATATGAACGTGACCGTATGCGAAATCGGTCACGTTCATATAAATTGTGTAAAGGTATTGCTGCAATTTTTACATTATTTAGCTGTCTATAAAATGTAATATCTCTGTCAGCGAAGCGATAGGATGCTAAGTTGGTTCTTAACTATTTCTCTTAGTTCTACTGGAGTAGTACCGTAATTGATAATTATTTTGAATAAAGCCAAAGTAGCTTAAATTGCGAAATTTACTTCTACGAACTTATACTCGCACGATAGTGTCATAGTGCTAGAGTAACGTCAAAGTTAAAGTATGTATTAATTATGTGTACAGACTTCATTTAATTTATGAACGTGAATCCGTAGTTCTATTTTAGGTAAAAGATTGTAGAAAGGCCAATAATATAATTGGTCATAGTGAACTATTTGCATTAGAATCTACTGTAACCGTAGAAGTTAATTATTGTTCTAATATTGGCAATCATGAATTTAAACTTATTAGACTTACTCGTATAAAAAGTAAATACTACAGTAAGTTCTACAGTATTTTGCGAAGAGCCTGATGCTCCTCGAGTTATTCATAGGCGATTATCGTAGGATATGCGTAAATCAACTATTTTCAGATTCAATTTCCTATGCTGAAATCTAATAGAAATTTTGTTAATATTTTCGTAGATGTAATCTAAACTTAATTTACAAGACTAGACTATTAAATACGTCATTTTATATTACAAGATAGAAATATTGGCATAGAAGTAATATTAAATGGTATCATTTTATATTAATTAAAGATGAAAATCTTGCTATAGAAGTAACATCCAATGGCATTGTTTTCCACTGCAAATATAAACTCTCTAGAGGAATTACAACCAATGATAGCAATTCAATTATAACCAGCTTGATATTAAGAGTATCACTGTAATCTATTTCTTATCATGAATAGGGTAATTGTAAGTACTTTTCGTGCATCTAATATATCTTTATCATTGCCAAGAGCTATTTTACTAGGCCCAATTATAATATTACATCGCGTTTGGGGCGCGTGCTTGCATTAAATTGCTTCTTTGTAATGTGAATTAAGTCAATAATCTATTTATCAAGTATATTGACAAGAAAGAATCACTTTAACACCGCTATTATCCAGCAAAGCAAGCAAATCTATGTCAATATTGAAATCGCCGATCAATCTTCTTTTATCGGCATAAAAATAATGGACAATCCAATCTTCTTCATTCAGCCATGACGAAAGGCTTCAAGAAAACGTGTATTCCTTGCTTACTTTACACCGCGATATACTTCAATTTTAATCAATTCACGAAATCTGTACCGAGATTTTTACAGTATTTCAATAATTCAATAAGTAACATCTATTACCAGCCGATAAAATCATCAAGAGAACTGCCGATTTTTATCCGATAGATTACTGATACAGGTAAATTATAGGAATAGGATAAGGTGCTCCGAATAAAATAAATATCCTATAAGCAGTTAATTATTACGTAATGAATTGATGTCCATATTAACAAATTTGCTTGCTTGCTATTGATGCATTTTTAATATTATTCCATTAATATTATTTACTTAATGAATTCAATCATCGTTTCTTGCGATTATTTTCCGCGTCATGGCCTTGAACTATGACTCGCTATGTAAAAAATACAAATTATATCAATATTGAAGACAGTTCTAATCCAAGACTAGATCCATTATGCCAATCTCGTCAGTAACAAGATCATAAAGATGCCAATGCCAATTAAGCTCAAGAAGCCTAAAGCTTCCACTGACTTAGAAGAGGTCAATTAGAATCAGTGATGTTCAATTATAGATTAGCCTTCAATTGTAGAATAATATAAAAATAAAAATAAATGCTAATCTCTCTAGTCAGAAGAGTTCATCTAGTGATGGTAATTTTAACTTAAAATTGGATGGATCCAACTGCATATCATACGATGTTGCTCTATTCCTAACAGAAAATCAATAACAAAGTCGAATCGATCTACCAAGCGGCTAAAAGTCATAATTTACCTCGATTGAAAAAATATGAAAACGATGTTAACATCAAAAGCTACAACTATAAAGAAATCAATGGCCATGAAGTGAGTACTACAGTAATTTCTTCCTTAGCAAAATCCTACTCTTGTTTTTATTTTGATTATAATCAACGGATTGAATCGAAATATAGTCTGATGTAAATTGTCATATCTAAACAAGCCTATCAACGATGACCTAAATCGATTACATTGCTTATAAGTTCAGTCATTAAATTCGATCATGAAAAATGATCAATTTATTATCTCAGTTCTATCGTAAATCTACTACTGCACCACCAAACTAAATTATAACCTAAATCGGACAAGTAAAGTTGTTGACATTTCATCTATAGTCTGTTTCCATCGAAAATATTTACATCGGCGACGCTACCTTCATAATTAATAATAGAAACTATCGAAAGTTTTATAACCTTACTAATCAGATTATTTCCATATAATATTTTTACGTCAATTAGAATTTATTTCTTCCATTAATAACTTAGTTTAAAGCTTATTTCTTTCCAGTTATGAAATAATGTCGTTTAAGCCAAATAAATTTCTACTATCAGTAAATAACATTACTCTATAATTTATACCCTTTTGTTATCCCTCAGTTAGTAAGGAAAGTTCTTTTTCTTTCAATGAGATTAAAAATCTTTCATTAGCTAGACTAGATCTTTTCTACCGATAAATGTAGATTATTGACTGTTTCTTTTTCTCATAAAAGTTATAAAATAATACTGTTGAGTCAACTTAAGTTGATTTAACTAGATCTCTTTAACTGGTAAATAAAGTTTGTTTGATAATTCTTCTCCTTTTAAAATGTTTGCAAGTAACCTCATTGAGCTAGTTTAAATTGACTTCTTTTATATGAATCAACATTCGCCTTAATTATGAAATTATATTCTTTATATCGATTGAAATCGATCACTTTCATCCGTAACTAAAAATTTATAGGTATCTTATTTCCTTTTAATAATTATAAAGTAATACTACTTTCTCAAATGATACTTGATGTACTTCGATTCTATGCTTTCATACACTCCATAAAATCTCTATATGTCAGACATAAGTGCTATTAACAGCATTTCCTCTAGTAGCGAATACCTTCTTGTCAATTATTCATTTAATTATGATCATTAGAAGCAGTGTATAGGCTAATTTTCATTTAATAAATATTTAATAGCAAGCTCGCTTAAGGAAATATTACGGAAATAGCAACAGCTAACTTATCCATGCAAATAAATCCCGTTTTGATGCGAAATACATATTACATGCACTACCGTACTAATTTATTCGAAACATAGGCTATCATCAGAGTATTGGTTCTGTCCATCTATAATTTAATCATAGAAACGAAAACATTAAATGGTAGACTAATCCACCCTTTAACTTAAATAACATAACTTTCATCAACTAGTTCGCTTTTATTTGATCAATTAGATTGACGGTGGAACTCCATTACATTTTGCTTGTGCTGATGGAGACGTCGATGCAATTCAGTTACTACTTTGCCACGGAGCTAATCCTTACTTGTTACAATATGAGGTAAGCTGATTTTACTGCTTAGAAATAAAATTAAATTAATATTTCCTATGGAATAAGAGGATTGCATGATCTATCAGAATTGTTTTCATGCGCATTTCTATAAACTGAAATTAATAGTGTACAATTTACTAATATCTGATAGCTGTAATTATCTTGACCTGATTTCTAATATATGTATATACATAAGACTAACAACAAGCTTTGAATCCATAAAGGAAAGTAGTATAGTTATATCTTATTGTA